TAGAGCATAAATAATAATAGTACGTTTTTGCTCATTTTGAGATAATTATATATAGTCAAAGGAAAAAGCAAGAAATTAAACCAATTGCCTTGCATTTGTGAGGTATCCATATTTTTGTCGTTTTAGTGCTTTGTCCTCGGTGCCCTGGTCAACGACCGTGACATATCGCGCCATGTTAGAAAGTCGTGAATGGATGATAACAATCATTTTCTGTTACATAATTTAACAGCTCTGCCACCCTTCCAACAACAATCCGCTGTGCCGAAGAGAACAAGTACAATGCTGTAGACAGTAGGATTGCAACCTTTGTGCTACCGCTTGGTGCGACGGTCAATATGGATGGTGSTGCRGTCTTTGAAGGAATCATCGGCATATTTGTTGCTCAGATGAACGACATAAGCATCACGCCTGCATTTCTGTTTACTAATATGTAAGTAGTCTCRTTCGCAGCCTCCAGAGGCTCTTTATCTTTGGATTACTTTTTCACCAATAAAAACTATCATTTTTAAAATTACTAAACCGAGTTAGCTCTTTGCGCTCGGTTTTTAGTTCCGGATTGACTGCGTTCTAATTCTTTTTCCATAAAACCGCGCACTCTGTTAAAAAGACTAATGAGAATAATAAGAATAATATTTGATTACCATCTAAAWGGCATAGCAATTTTTTTGGTCAAAATGACATTTTTCTGGCTATATAAGGGTTTATTAGTGTCTATATTATTAGCTTAATAACTATTCCACAGCTCGGCAAAGAAAACGCTCTCTAATCTCGCTAGTAGTATRAGCTCTAAATACGTCTGTTCTGCATGCAAATTTAAACTAGAAACTTCGCCTTACATTCATTTAAGTTCCTCTTAATTTTTTTTTATTAGAATAATGGCTCTTGCTGTATCTGTTGGAGCCGGTGGAATACCATCAGCTGGGTTTATTTATCCCGTGATCGTTCTTCAAACCCTTGGTCTTCCTGTGGAGGACCTCGCTCTGGTTTTGCCGGTAGAGTGGTTTATGTAAGTACCTAGTTCTCTTCATCMAATGACGTAATGTGTGTTTACGCGAAGTGCATCATGGTACTGATGAAAGTACCAAGATGGCGGATGTCTTATAAAACTACGTACAACAACTTAAGGCTATCGAGTGCTAGAATGCTTGTGCAGATGATTAAATGACATTTTCACACACTAAAATATGATATATCTGTGAGATAAGCGATCCCAATATCCGCTGAAATGCATTTCGCTTTATAAAGTGGCGTCGCTGTTATATACCTAGTTCAAGGTGTGAAAAAAGGTAGTGAAAAGAGATTACGATCTCTAAAAGATATATCTCCGTGTTAATGAAAGGCATCTAGCTAGTACGTTACACCGGTATACTAGATGCCTATTTCAAGAAAGGTTGTCGTATAAAATGGCGGGTGTCAATTGTAACGGCGATTGCAAGACGGGAAGGGAAACAACAACTGTTTTATACTCATGTACGATAGTCTGTGGAAAACATTGGCGCTATTTAGTTTCCATTTCTTTGCAAGGTTAATCCAACAAGTGAAATTCTGTTTGTCAGTGTAACTAACCATAGTCCCTTTCGGTCAAGCAATCTCCCTTCGACAACGTATCTTGAAATAGGTGTATGTAAAATTAATTATCAAAAAAATCGCAGTTTTGTTTAAAATAAAATCGAAGTTGAGACCGAAATTCACAACTATACAGCCATTTGCAAAAATTATGAGAATTGTCTAAATATGTAAATATCATAATATCCATATCCATATATTGTCCGGAACACGCGGGTTTGCTAGAATAATTCATTGTTGACATCGAGAAAATGTTCAGAACTACGGATAAGTCTGTCGCCAAAAAAAACACTAAATTACAAAGACAAGGGACTAAGGGCATCGCGCGGGATTACCCATCATGCACTTGATATTATGATATTTAGATATTTCAACAATTCTCATAATTTTTGCAAAAGGCTGTAATGTTCAATAAATAAACACATTAACCCAATTACAATAGCTAAAATGTTCGTTGTAAGTCTTAACTAATTTGGGCAAATACATTCATTCTCAGAGATCGCATTCGCACGACCCTCAATGTCTGGGGTGACGCAGTGGGTGCTGGGATAGTCAACCTGATGTCACGTGATGATTTGCTTGAACTTGACGCACAGAAAGCCGAAAATGGCGATGGTGAGGGCGATTTCCGTAGTCGTACAACCAATGGCAAATTCGATGAGGAAGCAGGGGGAAAGAGTACTGGATCAGCTCAATTGCTTAACGAGACGGCGTTTTAATATCGATATTATTTGTCCTTTAAGCTACAATCTATTGCAAAATAACGTAAAAAAACACCCCGAGGGTGCTACTTCAACCTCCCCTCCCTATTTGTAATTTTGTTTTCCGCTTATTTGAAAATGGAATCGCTTGAAAATCGTCCTGGATGAACAGATGAATTGTTAGAATTTTGTTTGATTTTATTTCATGGTTTTCCTGCGTTTGCTCTACAACGATTTGATACACGATAAATATTAAACAACAAACAAGTAAGACGATGATAAACCTCATTAGTTTATCAATGAAATAATGGTGTATAAGATGAGAATCAACGAGAATCGTACGACATTTTGTGTGGTTCGTAACTGTTAATTATCTAGAGCGGATTTCGTATGAGTGGGAAACGGACGGTACTGTACTGTGACCGTAATCGTACTGTAACCAAATTCTAGTGCCCAATTGGTTCACAAAAATTGTGCAGGCCAGGTCCGGTAACTGTGAGGCAATTGTGCGGTAATTTCTACCGTACGTTCCCCACTCGTATGAAATTGACTCTAGAAGATAATAGGCATTTCCTTTCAACAAAATTTCATTGTTAAAATACCATGAAAAGATTCTGGTTCAATGGTGAAATATAGATTAGCACAATCGAGATATGATGATAGTAGGTTTGATTTTAATAAAAGCGTATAACATAGCAATTAAATACATATTGTTGCAACTATTGTAGAAACAATTATAAGCGAAAACAACCTTAAAAGTAAATATCATAATCGGCCAATTACTCATCCAATAAAAGTCAGACAATATTAATGCTTAATTCACTGTGAAATAGTTAATCGATCAGCTTATGTGTATTTTTTATTATTATTTTAACTATTCGCCATCTGAATGGGTGTTCGTATAGCCATGATCTTCTCTAAGAGCGYTGCGGTCCATGTTCTAGAATGCAAACATTCAAAACCTTCTTGGCAAGACCACATCCACGTTCCCTGTTACCCCAACGTCCATTGAAGTTCAGGAACTTGAAATCTCCTGTGTACTGGCCTCTTGGTTTTTGGTCRACGATCTTAAGGGTGTTCCACGTGTTCCAGGCCTCACCGTGGCTACACTTGTCAACCAGTTTCTCACCGTTTGGCAAATTCTTGTAYACATGGTTACCGACATTAGGCCAAAACCCATGAGAACCAAGCGCCGCGTAGGCGACACCGTGAGTACAGCCCTCGAGTTTGAGCTTTTTATGGCCTTTCTGGAAGGTAAGACCGTTCCATAGGAATGTCCCAGCATGTTTGTTGGTTATAGCAGAATTATGGGTGGAGAGGAACATTGAATGAAGACGGTTGTTTCTGAAGACTATTTTCATGTGCTCCCAATCGCCTACATGYTGGCCAAACGTGGAATATCCGCCAACACAGTAAATTCGAGGGCAGGGGCAACCCCATGGAGTTTTTGGACATGGACATCTTCCTCCACCATGCAAGCCCACGCAGACTCTCTTCCCACGGTTGTAGGGGAAGAAAAATCGGTAGACGAACTGTATCTCGCTTCCTTTTTTTACAATGGTAGTGTAAACAGGTACCTTGGACGGGTGCTCACCATGCAGGAAAGGCAGGTTGGTACACGAYGCACAGTTTAAACGGCCCTTTGACTTCAGGTAGCAGTTACGATTGCAGGTCGGCAAGTTGTTTGGTCTTAAAGGTTGGGGATTYGGTCCTCCTACTACATTTACGTGTCTTAGGAAGAAGTCCACACTTGATGGCTTCCACGTCTCGCCCTGTGCGAGCTTCACGGCAGGTGCCCAAACTCTGGCCAACTGGTGAAGATTGTTGCCTCGGATTACCGAATACAGATTCACTTGGTTACGGCAGTGCTGGGAAGGACCTGGAGGTGGTTTGGGACGACGACGACGGCGGCGACGGCGGCGGCGACTCCAAAATGCATCGCTCTCAGGGACAAGAAGGGCAATAATAGCAAGCGAAATTACCAAGAACTTCAAATTCATTGTTGATCTGAAAACGAACCATCAAAATTRTTTGTCAATAAAAATAATAAACTACATAATTGTAAAATACATCTCATTGCTTTTAGAGTGGTTTTGATAAACCCGTGAAACAAAGTGTAATAATTAGAGTGTAAAAGATCGTAATAGTCGCGTAGAGACAATAAAAKACAAAASAGCCAKAGTGTAATAYCGARAAATACGCTAAAGTGTGAGTCACGGGTTAATGAAAACCACTCTAACATATGAATTATCTATTAAATACCTAGTTTCTCTCTTTCGAAAATTAAAAAGTTGTTAGGGAAAATATATATTGGAAGTAAATAAGGGTATTTTACGACATAATTTGCTTTTATAGARAATTATATGATAAATAACAGAAAATTTATACGAATTTTATCTTCGAGTGTTGAGATCMTTTTAACACTCGAAGACAATATCCATATCTCCGCGCGCCCATGWAATATCCTTTATATGCTATTATATAGTTTAGTTTGCGAATAGACTAATACAGTTAAAATAACAAAAAGAAAAAAAACTACAAAATGAAATGAGAACTAAACAGAACTTGATTAAAGTTGATGGCTAGAGTACAAACACTAAAACTGTGAAACATAAATACCACTAAATACTGCTAAATTATGCTAATTCTATTGTTTTCTATTGTTTAATTAGCACTATATATTTTGTAGTAAATAGTGGAAAGTGTTGCACACATTTATGTTTGTACTCTACTATACCTCGTTAAGAATCCAGCCTAGCCTCTGTCGTACCKCAAGACTGCTTCGGCAGAATGATCTCTGCAACAATTCCACACACTTAAATACTCTGCGGGCCTCTTAATAGACTCCGAGGATTTCGCTTTCYTGTGTTTTTACATGTAAAGTGGCAGTCATTCACTTTTGCTTCAGCCACTTGATATTTAGTACAGTTCCTCTTTTTACAACCATTTTATGAAACAATTTAAACAAATGTACATAACTAACATGAACTAATAGTGAAGGAACTTATCTGAGACATGCTCTGGTCGGTCAACAAGCGGAATTTAATAGTGCACAAAGCCAGTGTACAYAGATTTACAAAAATGTTGAAAAATGTTTGTTTATATACAAACACCGCAATTGACATAAAAAAAATAACATTTTGGTTAATATTACTCAGAGTGGATATCTGAGTAACAAGAAAACATTAAAGATTTTTACTTATTTTTACAAATACGGCAGTTTTTAGCATTCTGAATGCTTGCAGCACGCGATCAGCGCCTCTCAGCGCTATTTATGAACCTAACGTCAAGTATCTTTGTTAAAAAGACGTGGATTTTGCTGGGTTTTTTCCCTCTTCTTATTTCGCAGTTTAATTTGCCTTATAAAGAAAAGGTCGAATAAAAAGGTCATAGACAACCAAAATATATGGAAAAATCATTAAAAATTGAACAAATAATCACAATWTTTTTTTCGTGAAGTGTTTCACTTCAAAGCGGAAAAATCATTTCAAGTGTGGACAAATGCCGCCAAATGATTTCATTTTCAGTCATTCCAACCCGTGTTTTCGTTTATTACTATCAGCACTTATCACTTAATAATTATAAGAGCTGATATAGATCATATATGAAAAAGGGCGTGGCTATCGTAACGCCATATATTARGAGTTGAACAATATATCATTAATACGAAGAGCATATTATAATGAGTAAGATCTGAACGTTTTGTTGCTCATTCACTTTATAAGGACCAGAAATTACAGGRGTTTGAAATTGGAAACGTTTGAGTGAAAATCAATGAGTATTGAAGACTKCTTTTTACGTTTTTCGCACGCTTCAAATGCTCGTAACTCTGACGATTTTCAACATTGGAAAATATACTCCTCCAGTTTACTAGCTTAGATACACTTTTTCTAATAGTGTAAAAAGATTTTTAAAATCTGGATCGTTTAAGGTTCCCATTCCTAGTCTTCTTCACGTTTTCCATGAGGTTAATAAGCCTTGCTCACTGTTGATTTTCATTTCATAATATTTTAAACGATTAAAATACAAGGTCAAGTGAATTAGGACTTGATATTAGGACATGCTCAGCCGTAGTCTTCTATACTGAACGAATGCAAGTTTAATATTTGAGTGTTCAGTATTGTTATAACCAAGTAACGCCACAATGGCTGCTATCGTGAATAAACTCTTTTAAACAATTTCCGTTACAGACCAAACCATCTCATAACAACTTCACATCTATGCGGAGAGCATTTTCACAAAGAATTTGGCGCTGATCCGCTCTCCCATCATAGAAAGCAGCCGAGAACGAAAACAACAAAATTTCTTAAGTGACGGGTTTTATGCACCGCAGATAGACCGCTCCGCGTTGAGCGTGTGGTCGACTCTCCACCGATGAGAGAAAAATTTGTAGTTGAATTATTAGAGTCATTTTCATCCGTCTGTGAAACAATTACTACTAGTCAGTGTTTAATAGTAATTATTAGGGTGTAGAAGGCTACCAAAGGCAAAATTCAAAACCGTGTTTGCCCAATTAGCTAGTTTGTCGCATGTCATAAGTTAAACTATTGGGAGCTAATATAGGGGTAATAGTATTTAATAGTACAATTCCTATTTCTTC